TCTGCGGATGTCGGCGGTGGTCGAAGATGATCGGCGTTAATGTTGAGCTGCAACTCTCTCTATAATTCAGCTTTCCCTTATGTGAAGGGTGGGCGTCTATTTATAGTGTTATGAGTACAATTAATGCAGGAATATCAACCATTTTGATCGGACGGTACAAAAAGTTTCTTTCGATTATGCGACATTTAATAAACATTTGAGTGCTTTAACCATGCCGGAAATGAGTGATATTGGGCTTGTTGGATTTGTCTTATTGAGACGATTGATTCGAGTATAGGCTTGCTAGTGTCGACGTTTTTTTGATCTTCCAAATGTGTCCAGAAATCTTCCAAGGGTGGTTTAATGACTTGATCTGAGTTTGATTTGACTCAGATTGGACTAGTTTTGATATCATTTTTTTATTTCATTAGGTCTGTCATCGAGCCGGTCAGTTTGATTATAAGTTTGCTGGAATCAGAGCTCTGGATGAATTTTATCAAGAATTGAACTTTTCTTGCTCAAAATATTATCTTGGGATCCGTGTCATGTCTTGAGATTCGTGTCGGATGATGAAAATTTGTTGATGGCGTATCAGTTGCCCTCTTATTTTTGGGCGACCAGTTTCAGGCGAGACCATTTTTATTGTCCAAAATTATCAAGATCTGGAGCATTTATGTCCTGCATACGTATCAATATATATTATTTTATTAGTATCGGTATAAAAATATTTTTTTTCTTATATATTAAGAAGTTGAAGATAACCCAGTTGGTAAGTTCTTTTGCTTTATGAGAGGGTGACAGAGTTCGAATACTGCCCTAGACAGGTCGACTGTGAGCCCGAAACTGAAAAGATGGGCTCGAAATGTAGAGTTGGGGAACTCGAGAATTTTTTTTTGGAAAATGAAATTTTTTTTAATTTTTTTATGACATTTAATGTTTGCACACCTTTTTAAACCTGCTTAATAACAAATATTTACTTTTTCACTTCTTTTTAAAGTTTATTTAATAATAAATATTTAATTTTTTACTTCTTTTTTAAGTCTATAAAAATGACCTTTTAATGGTTAAATCTCATTTGGAGCCGATAAATAGGAGCTGAAAGAAAGAGTAGAGGTGCAGCAGTGCGTCGTGGCGACGCGTTGCGGCGGCGCGACGACGTGTTACAGCAATGTGTCGCGTTGTGACAGTGCATCACGACGACGTGCTGGGCGGAGAATTGCAGTGGTGTGACGCATTGGATGTCCAATGTCATTTAAGAAGATTACCGTTGGTATAAATTGCCAACGGCCTTTTACTTGGTTGAGGTTATGCATCAGAGTATTACTCAGTGATATTTAACATGTATGGGAGGAGTCAAAGAAAGTCCTTCGGGTACTTATTAACCCTAACCCATCCAAGGTTGTTTGCTGGAGCATGACTCACTTATGAACCTGTGTGGAAGGGATCAGGTGTAGTCCATCAAAGACTGTTAACATATTCAGGTTTGTTTATCAGAGTAAAAATTCAACGATGTTAAACCATGAAGTCAGATCAAATCCTCTTGGGATCGATCGAGCTTTGACTAAGATACAACCAGAGTTGTGTATTTCTCTGGTCGAGAGCATAAAGTGACTCGTGAATGAGCCATTACACATTCTAAAGATATTCTTTTCTATAGATGAAAACAATAAAATAAGTCTGAGATATATTGACATTGTATGCAATATGACAGATGATGTGACTGAAGTACTACTGGTAGTATTTCCGAAGATTCTCGGCATTTCAAGTCTGGAGCGGATTTCTCCATCTGAGTCTTTGAGCTTGAAGGTTCCAGGCTTGATCATGATAGCCACGATATACGAGTCTTCCCATAGAGGGGATAATTTGTTGCATTGGGGATCATGATCAGCGACTTCGATACTACGCAAAACCAGGTCACCAATGGAGATAGGTCGAGGCTTTACTCTTCGGTTGAAGTGGCGAGCAATTCTTTGGTGGTAGGAATCTGCTCTGAGGTGGGCCACATCGCGTATTTCCGAGAGAAGATCCAACTGTTGTCGGAGCTTTTCTTTATTGTTATCCGAGTCGAAAGTCTTGACTCGGGATTTTGGGTGATAATTTTTGCGGGAAGCCTAAAGCGACAAATGATGCTTTTCCAGACAAATTGTTTGACATTGGCCTCAGTGATCTTGGCAAGAGGCTCTGCTTAGTAGTTGACAAATAAGATGATGAATTTTCATTGTCCAGTAGCTATTGGAAACCCCCATGATATCTACTCTAATTGGGCGAAAGACCAAGAACTCAGAAAAGATGTGAGTACTAGCGGCGCATGCACACGATTGGAGTGTAGTTGACAATTCTTACATTTTTGCACAAATTCTATTGCATCTTGCTTGATCGTGGGCTAGTAGAAGTCTTGTCTCATTATTTTAAGAGCAAGTGCCTCGCCACCTAAATGCTCCCCACATATTTCAAAATGAACTTCTCGTAGAGCGTAATCAGCTTCAGATGGAGGAAGACACTTAAGATATGGACTTGCAAATGACTTCTTATACAGTTCATCCCCTATAAGGATGAAGTTGGCAGTCATGCGTCAGATGCGAATTGATGTAGTAGCATCATCTGACAGTGTTTCGTCTCGGAGGAAGGAGATGATGGGATTCATCCAAGATGACTCCCTTGGGTCATCTATAGACAGTATCACCCATGGGTCATGGATGCTAGGAAAATGTATCTCCTAAATGCACATTCTTTTATAGAGATCTCCAGTTGTTGAAGTTGTAAGCTTGGAGAGGGCATCAACTCAGGTGTTATGCTCCTGAAGTATGTGAATGAGCTGACATGTTTCAATTTGGGCGAGAAGTGTTTTTATCAGACTGAGATATTGCACCAATTGTGAGTTATGAGCGTCAAATTCTTCTTCTACCTAGGATTCAATGAGTTGAGAATCAGTGTAGATAATCATGTTTCGTACTTCAAAGTTGATGACAAGCTTTAATCCGACGACAAGTGCTTCATATTCGACAATATTATTGGTGACTGAAAATTTCAAACGAAGTTCTTATTCCAAAATGTCTTTCTTTGGGGAGATGAGTAGTATTCCTGCAAGTTTTTGGATGCTCCGTCTCCGTATAGTGTCCACTGAGGTGACCGTGAAAGAGAAGAGGGTGGTTCATTAGAGGTAGACACTGTACATTCTACCACAAAGTCGATCAACACCTGTGAATTGATGTTTGGGCGTGGTAAATAATGGATGTAAAATTCTTTCAATTATACTGACCATTTAACTAATCGTCCTGATGCTTCTGGTTTTTGTAGGATAGTCTTCAAAGGGAGTTGCGTGTAGACGCTGATAGTGGACGCTGATAGTGTGCTGATAGTGTGAGTCTGGAAGTACGGACGAAGTCTCCTTGCTAAGAATACCAGGGCTAGTGCAGTCTTGTCCGCCAATGGATAGCGACTTTCTGCATCAGAGAGAATTTTGCTAACGTAATATATTGGTTTGTCGAGTTTTCTTTTTTGACAAGAACAGAGCTTATTGCATGAGGTGAAATAACCAAATAGATATATAACATGTCTCCTTTAATGGGCTTTGAGAGGAGGGGCGGTGAAGCCAAATATGTCTTGAGTTGCTCGAAAGCAATATGAAAATTTTCCGTCCACTGAAAACCGGTGTTCCGAGCACATCTGAGTATCTTGAAGAACGACAGATACTTTTCCCAAAATAAACTAAGAAGCGGGATAAAGTGACTATACTGTCATTCAACCGTTATACCTTTTTGATGTTTTTTGGAGGCATCATGTCCCTCAGCGCATGAAAATTTTCCGTCCACTGAAAACCGGTGTTCCGAGCACATCTGAGTATCTTGAAGAACGACAGATACTTTTCCCAAAATAAACTAAGAAGCGGGATAAAGTGACTATACTGTCATTCAACCGTTATACCTTTTTGATGTTTTTTGGAGGCATCATGTCCCTCAGCGCTTTAATTTTTTCTGGGTTTGCTTCAATTCCACAATGGATAGCCATGAATCTCAAAAATTTCTCTGATGTCACTCCAGAAGCACATTTAGTCGGGTTAAGTCGTAAATTGTATTGACGAAGAAGTTGGAAACACTCCTCCAGATGAGAAGTGTGTTGGGATGCTTCCAGATTTTTTACTAACATGTCATCAACGTAAACCTCCATTGTATGTCCGAGAAGATTTCTAAAGACTTTGTTCATTAGACGTTGATAAGTTGCACCAGCATTTTTTAATCCGAACGACATAACCTGATAACAATTTAAGCCCTTATTTGTTTGAAAAGATGTGGCTTCCTCGTCTGCTGGGTTCATCCTTATTTGATTGTACCCTGAGTATGCATCCATAAAACTGAGCATCTAATGTCAGGAAGTGTTAATTATTTGTGTTTTGAAGTATAGTTGAGTCGTCCTGTATCAAATCTTTACTTTTATAGTGATTACTTTTTCATCTTAATAAATGACCTTAATTTTATGGAT